GCTGAGCCCAGGCGGGCCCAGGTGTGCCCAGCTGTGCCCAGGCGTTTTGCTGCTGCTGCTGAGAGCGGTGCCCGACGCCAAGGGTGCCCCCGTGGCACAGCGCCACGGGGTGAGGGGCTGCGGGGCGGGTGAGTGTGGAAACCAAGCGGGACCGGGATGATTCCCGCCCAGCGACGGGGCATGGAGCCCCCGCACGCTGCCTTGGGGGTGGTTTTTCGTAAGTTTTTCTGGTGGAAAGATTGTTCTGTGCATGCAGTGGGGTGCGGGGTGCGGATGACCAAGGAGAAAGAGGATGTTCAGATGTTGAAACCGCAGGCCAGATCACGTGGGCAGATCTGGGAGAAGTAGTCGTGGGTGGGAAAAGTGAATTAAGGGAATTAACTTGGGAAATTCCACTTTAGGGCATTTCTACAGTGCCTGGGCATGAAATTCCTGATACTGTCTTATGCAGTTAGAAAAAGCCGATGGAAGAAGTGAGACAGTAATGGGTACATACAGGTCGCTCTTAAAACTGGAGATCTTTGAAAGAGTAAAGCCCTTTGCTACTCTTCTCTTGCAAACGGTGAAGAGGCAGGTGAGGCTGTTTCCCAAAACACCTTCAGTTTCCAGATGTGGCCTGCGGAGGTGAATGTCCTAGTTGTGGCCGTGACCCACCTGCAGTGACAGGAGGATCATTTCTGCCCCGAAACACCCCAAGACTGTTCAGTGCTTTGTGTCATCGCAGTGATTTATGTTTCAGACTTTTTGGAGAGATAAGAGCACAGCAGATGTGACGGAGAAAGTCACTAAACCAGATCTACATCGAGTCTCTGCATTAAGTTGTTCTGCGTGTAATTAGCTGGGGCTTTGTGTGCAGTAGCTGGTCGTAAAAGTCTGTAGGTATTTCCTGGTCTTGTGGAGCTGAAGCTGTGGATCACTTCCTTGATCTCAGATAGGAAACCTTTTTGGCAACTGTTCTTGTAAGAATGCAGAGGAGTAAACGACGCAATTGCTATACTCCTGGTCAACATTTTCATTAGGGGATGTGGTTAAGTTTCCACAAAAAATACACCAAGCTTGCAACTAACAGAAGACAATCAAAGAACATGTTTTTACAGCTTATTTTAAAATGGTTAATATTTTTTCACTTCCCAAAGCTGCACAGTTTATATAGCCTTCGCTTGAGACACTGAGAACAATTAGGCCCCTGCTGTGATTACAGTCTTGCCAAGTTGATGAATAATGTTGCTTGTCAGAAGTAGTTACCCTGCTTGGGATCTGCTCACGGTTTAATTGGAACATGGAGTGTTGCACGTAGGTCAAATACTAGGCTGGAGTACAGAGCTCTAACTCTTGGATATTCAGGTGTCACGTACCTCGAAATAGGGTTTGCAAATACCGGTAACTGCTGCCCTTTTGCAAAAAATGTGTTTGTGGGATTGGTTTTTTAAATGCAAGGACATCAGCACTGCTGTTGCTCATAATGCCATCTCTGTGTATACCTCCAAGGCCAAGCTTTTATTAACAGGCTTAAAAGCTACGTACGGAAGTCTCCAAGGAATTAAAGGCTGCGACGCTGCTGCGACTGGCTCCAAAACAGCAGAAGAAAAGGAGGACAATTTTTTTTTTTTATAATGAAACTTCTCCTTTGCTATTAATAATGCAAATGACTGCAATATTTAAATATTTAAATATTCATATTTATATTTAAATAGTCACAGTTCTTTTAAAGCTGCTGGTAACGGCAGCGCTTGGACCTGGTGTGCTGGGACAGGAGGCCACCCTGCCTACAGAAGTGTCAAGAGGGCAGCTGAGAGGGGCAAAGTTGGGCTTGTGAGGCTGGGGGATTTCAGCACGGCTCAACCCTCCTCCTCCTCCTCGCTTTCTCTCTCTTCTCCGTTCGCTCGGAGCAGCGCTCCAGCCAGGCACTGGGTGCCTCACGCTTGGCTCCGACGCTCCCCCAGCTGCTTGGTGGAGCGGAGCCAGCCCCAGCTGGTGAGGTGGGGGCTTGTCCCACCCGCACTCGCTCAGCCCATGCGGATTCTGAAAGGAACACGGGAGCGGCTCTGCCTGGGGTCTCCTGTAACCCCCCAGGGCTCCCAAGTAACTTGGCAGCAGAGGTTTATCTCGTCTGGTTTTTCATTTTGTTATTCTTTAGGATCGTGTGAATATTGCTCGAAGCACACTAAAGCAGGTGTCGCACCGCAGCTACCTTCATCTGATTAACTGTGCTAAACACATCACTGAAATGCCACTGTGCTGAGACCGACACCTCTGCACTTGGAACAAACGCTGTAAATAAGAACCTGTGCCTAGGGAACCAACTGCCAGGATCATCCCTAATGAGTTTGGTTTTAATCTGAAGTACCCAAAGCCTTAATGGTGCATGAAAGCCCTGCAGTTCACTTGGCACCCTACACTTGCCTCCCTTTGGAAATAATGGTGGCAGCTTCCAGCACCTTTGGGCTCATCCCTGCTCCTGCCACAGCAGCGGCTGTGCTCTTTTGGCAGCCTGACCCCAGCCTGGGAGCCTCACACAAATAACTCTCAGAACGTAGACACTTCGGCACGCTGCCAAAATGCCTGCCCCATCAGGAAAGATGATCTCTAAGGCAGCTAAAAAGGCTGACTTGTCCTTGGGATTGATGTGGTCCTGTTGGCAGTGCGGATCGCTGCACGCTAGCGCTCAGCCTGCGGTCAGCTGTTTGTGTACGAGATCAAAGGCTGTCAGATACAGCAGTGGGTTTGGACCACCCACAGGTAACTCGCCTCAGAATTGTTACCAAGTCCTCCAGCTTCCTATTGCTCTTGTTAAGTTGGTGAACACAACACATGTAGGATTCAGTTGCATTTTACTTCACTCACCGAGTGGCAGATGAAATGCTGTGGGCATGTTTCGCAAGTGCTCTCGCTGCCTTTGCTGACTGCAGTGACAATATACTGATGATTGTTCAGTCTCTTGTTTCCCTTCCTTTTAGAATATGCCGCAATAAACTCCATGCTGGACCAGATCAACTCCTGCTTGGATCACCTAGAGGAGAAGAATGATTATCTCCACGCCTGCTTGAAAGAACTGCTGGAGTCTAACCGCCAGACCCGCCTGGAGTTCCAGCAGCAGAGCGAGCAGCAGAACACAGAAGCTGATGTGCAGGGATCTCAGCCTCCTGCCTAGTGTGCCGGCCACTAACTGTCAGTTGGTATCACTAAGGGGACAATTACTGGTCACCAATTTAACATAAAACTTGACTAGAAGAGGTACCTTGTGCCTGTTCCTTGTTCCTTCCTGTGATTACATCCTGCCATTCACCTCCATGTTCTGTTTCCCTTTAGCTGTGGGATAGGTGCAGCTCACAGGTGGGTGTAGGAGAGCTGGTTCTTGCTCCCCAGCATGGGCCTGGCACTGACACTTGGTTAACGCTGGTTGTAGGAACCTGATGCCAGGCAGGTTGTTTGCATGCAGGCCCCCTTCACGAAGAGCAAAACCGATCTCTGCTCTTCTGTACTGTTAAATCCAAGCAAGGAGCGTTACAGCTCTGGCCTCCTCCCTCAAGAAGCACAGTAGGCAGGGGCTGTCCTGACTCCAGGCTAGCCTCTAAGTGTAACTCTGGTGACAGACTTGGTGAGGGAGGCCCTAGGCCAGCTCCTGCCTTGAAACCACAGTTTCCCCGTTACTCCCATGAACTGCGCTGTACGAAACACTGGCAGATGGTCCCAGATCATTGGACACTTCTGTCCCCTTCCAAGCAGATAAGACAAGCTACCAGGGTGATATTTTTGACTGTTATAATTGGAAGCTGTCATTAAGGAGCCAGGCTTTGGAGAACAGCCTGGTTAGCCTCCACCACAGCATTAGCTATACAGAGCAAAGAGATAGGGGCCTCCCTGCCGTGCGCTGTCAGCAGAGTCTTCCCTGGATGTTTTGACAAGAGCATGCATGAGCGTTCTGGTCTGAAACTTTGTGATCTTGTCAGGAGGGCCTGGGGACAGCACTGTGAAGCAAGTCTTACTGTTCTACTTCTGTGGAGTTAAAGGAGTTTTTTTGAAAGTTAAATAAGTTATTTATAAGAAATCTGTTTTATTAAAATCAGTTTGAAACAAAATTGGTTCCTGAGAGTCTCCACTATGAGAACAGACTGTATTAAGCCTTGTAGTACTAACAAAGGACCAAAATGCACATTCTTGCCTAGCTTAGGACACAGTACTTGTCCAAGAGTGTGCAGAACTGGGCACACAGTCTCCCATGAGATAACCTTTTCCTCTGCCCGGAAAGGAAACAAGAGAGGAACTACAAAGAATGCTTGGTGAAAAATAAGTCTGCATCCATCTACTTCATGAACTTTGTCCCTTACGGAAATCACATTACCATCTTCTTTCGGGTTCAACAATCCAAGCCTCTGTCGTTCCACGTAATTGCTGTATCCCAACTGTACGAGCAATAACCAACACCATCCTGTATTAGACACGCTAAAGCCAGGCTTATTTTATTCTTAAAATAAAAACAGCAGTAAAGTTGAAGGTTTTTGCTCTATTAAAAGACTCAGAAAATAAACATTTCCAGCAAATATCATATGTAAAGGGCTCTCCCTTTAAGGCCACTCTATCTGGGTTTGCGCCTAGTAGAGCGTCTGCACCCAGCAGAGGTGAGACTGGCTGTCTCACCTTTGGCTAGGGAGGAAGGCTCTGCCGCTGCCTCCTGGCCTGTGTTTGCTGCCTCGTTCTGTCCTAAACCCCCTCCACTCCCTGGATCCTGGCGGTCGTCTGTGCCTTCCCTTTGCCTGGCTGCATTGGCTTCCTCCTCCTCACACATGGCGTGTCCAAACAACTCCCCTCCGGTGCGGTTCTCTTCAGGGAGCGGGCAATCGGCGCTAGTGGCAGTGGACTCGCTCTCTTCCTGTAGATTTTCTTCTTCTACAACCATGATTCCACAGACATCGTCAGTCACGCTGGCTAGGCTTTTGCCCTCTGCTACAGAGGTGGCCAGCTCACCCTTACCCTCCGGAGACCTCGACGCTTGTTCTTGCAAGGCTGACAGCTCTGTACCCTCCTTGTCTATCCCACGATCATCATTCACCTTCTTGCTGGTATCTGCTGTTGTAGCAGGAGGGTGTTTTGGATCATCCAGCAATTGGGAGCTGGAGCCCTGGGAATGCAAAGGAGCCTCGGGGTAGGCAGCTGTGGCACGATGCCTCGCTGCCTTGTATCTCTGCAAATACAAACAAACCAACGTGAGAGACAAGCCCAGCTCAGTAACTGTCACTGCAGCAAGGAGCAGCTGGTCCAGGAAAACCTGTACAAAAACAGTGGTGAGTGTCAGCTACACTCTGCAGGGGCCCGACTTGCCTCAGCAGCTCTCCTGGCCTGGCTGCTGAGGCTTTCAAGCAGAGAAGGGTCAGCTCCTGTGAGGAAAAGTGGCGATATTAAAAACTGAAGTCCCTCTCGCATTACTTAATCATGAGCGAGTGCATGGCAGACCTGTGGCTCCCGAGACAAAAACTCATGTTTTGGCAACTGTTAATCTCAGTCAGACTCAGGACTTTGCAGATGTAACAGTGCAAGTGACAGCTCTTGCTTCAGCTACTGCCAGGACGTGACTCTGGACATGTACCCTGGATACATGAGGCTATGCACTGCCCTCAGCTACAGAGGTGTGATTGAACGTTTATCAGCCAAAGCAAGACTTAAGTTGAAAGCTTCAGATTTTTTCACTCGGTTGATACAATCTGTGCAGTCATTGACACTGTTGACAGGAACACTAAGATATCAAGAATATCTTCTTGTTACAAGGTACTGAGGTTCTCTACAGAACAAAGGTAAGCGTTTCATCAATAAAATGACTCATTTGCACTCGCTATCATGATGAACCAGTAGAGGCGTGTGAAGAGATTAAAACGGCTACCAGCCATTTTCAAGACTGCACTTCAGAAAACCAGCAACGCTCTGTAGCTGTCTAACATGCGGTAGGAATCTGGTCTTCAAGACCCAGACAGAGCATGAGCTAAAGGAATAGAACAAAGCTCCCTCTTTTCCACAGCGGTTCCCTCCACAATCAACTTGCAGCTTTCTGCTAAAGGGTCCCTTGACCTGGCACTAGCCTTAGACTTGACAACTTAAGGAAGCTACTTTGAGCGCACTGGCTTTCACCGCTGCCTTAAGCGGCGCTACTGTAGTCTGCAGTGTGGAATTACAGCACATCGGACGGGCAGCTTTACGCTGTAATTCAGTTTATCATTGCAGGCTTGTTCTTTCTCTTCTCAGATAGTGGGGTACACACAATATCCTAACACACTGGAACTAGATCAGCGAAGTCATAATGTTGTACCCAAACTAAACCAGGTGCAAGCATGCCCATTTGTTGTCAGAGTGATGCTGTGAACTGCCTCAACAGCAGACAGTTCTCTGCTTTGAAACCCTCTGCTGAGAGTTATCTCAGAAACTGGCAATGATTTAACTCAGACTGCGACAACCCCAAGGCACCTAGGCAGCCAAGAATAATAGTTATCTGCCTGCAGATATTTAAGCTTTGACTCTTGTCATAAATAATCCCTCCAGGTCACTCTGGCATCCATTTGAAGAGTGTCTCATTTCAGCTCTAAGTGGGCCAAAAGGGACGCATACACACCACTGCTGCAGTTTCACTCTAAGCTGATCTAAAATAAGCCAGGAAAACGGCAAGGCCGATTCCTTCATTCCTGAAACGACTAGCTCCAGGAGTGGGAGAGGATGAGCAACCGTGAAGGAACAGCTGTGGTCTCCTCCTGCTACTTGCCATTCCCAATCCACTGCTCTAAGTGCTGGCTTCTGCAGCACCCCGCCCCTTGCTGGAAGCAGTGTCAGTTGACCAGGAATAATTTAACCTGTCTGAAGACTAGTAGAAAAACACAAAGTTTTGGGGGGCAGTGTGTGTGTATGGTTTTGGTTTGGTTTTTTGGTTTGGGTTTGTTGGGGTTTTTTTTAAACACTATGAAAAGCTGGTAGGGAAGCACAGCAGCTTTTGTTGGAGCAGGTTTTGGGTGCAGGCAGAAGACAAAGTCAGTGTGGGAGCCTCCCTCCTTGCACGGGTCAGGCAATACTGCTCTCCACTGCAAGGGCAGGGCCCAGGCAGTGGTCACGGGAGAGGGCAGAGACAGTGCAAGCCCTGCATACCCACCACAGGCGCTAATCGAGGCCCCTCACCCCCTGGCAGGTCAACAAGGACAGAACAACGGAGGCAGATTCCAGGCCAGCCCAGTAGGAAAAGCTTCTAGATACGAAAGCAGCAAGGGGCAATACGGCTTCTTTAGGCAGAGCCAGTAAAGCAAAGGAACAGCATTGGTTGGCAGAGCTTTGTGCTAAGGAGTTTCTAGGAAAGGGTAGCAGACAGACAGACAGACAGACTTGACTTCCTGTTGCAGGCTGACCCTGGGGGCCAAATGGACTCTCACCAGCTTGTAGCTTCCATCACATAAAGAGTCTGTAACGTTAAACTTCCAGATTTCTAAGGTATCTGATTTTACCAGGCCCCTTCATGGATAAATCACACCCACAGTTTTGGCTAAAGGAGCTGTTCCTACAGTATCACATGGAAAGATGCGTATGTACCAGCTTTCTTTAAAAAGAACAGCTTCTGTCTCTTGTTCTTTCCCCATCTTGACCCACCTGTAATCTGTCTAACAGAGAAGAGGCCTAGACTGAACGACAGACTCCACAGGTTCAGCAAACAGAGCAGACACTCTGAGGAAGATTTCCAGCCAGAAATGGGCAACAAGATGACAGCAGCAGTAGCTGGGAAGCAGGACAGGACTGGTTTTAGATCTACAGGGGCGATGGGAGACAAACACAGAGCACACCAGGAGAAAGCTATGGCACAATGGACACCAAGGATGACTGAAATGAAGACAAGACAGCTAACATGGTGGATTCACTGAAGAGACACGCACGGGGGTAACAAATGCCAGGCCATGCAATCGCCAAAGGGTCTAACCTGAAAGTTCTCAAAATGCATCAGGGACTTGCAGTGTGCGAGCCGGGCAGCAGAGTCGCTATGGTAGAATTTGTGACACAGCCTGCAGAGGTAACCTGCGACGGGGACCAGAAAATCCAGGCCTGCGAAACGGGAGGGGAAGGGAAATCACAGATCACATTGAATGGAACTCAAATAATGAAAGCATGTTAAAAGGGAAGGGGAGGGGAGGG